TCTAGAATATTTAGTACCTGTACGTACGTAGAACTTTCCCCCCCCCCCTCCCCACTATCATGGGATGCCAGGTCTGAGACTTTGAAATCGGGAAAAATTATGATACATTATCCCGAATTGGGTATGTTCAGAATTACAAACTGTACAATAAAAATCCTGTGTTTTTTTTTAAACAAGCATCATCTTGAAATATTAAAACACCAATATCTATACCTTTAAATATATTTTAGGTATTGCATAGTCATCTGAATGCAAAATTAAAGTTAAAAAAGATATGGCCCCTTCAAAATGGAGCGGGGTCACATTTTGAATCCAAAAAAAAAGGCCCAAAGAAGTCCTGATGTGTATATGACTGAGGATATGTACGTAAAACACCAAACAATTCATTTATTAATAAGAGTCAACTTTAACATCCGATATTATCTTTTCCCTTGACTTGTCCTTTATGAGGAGATAATTATTAGACATGCAGGGATCAAGACTAGGACAAGAAGAAAATGTATATGGTCTGCAGGCATAGGCAAGTTTGTGGAATATGCATACAGAGCTGATCATGGCAGATGAGAGTAAACCTGTAAGTAAGAATTTATGTTACCGCATATGGTACAACACTACATTGACTATATATGGTCTGCTGAATTCATATACATCAGCTGGTAGATCATATAATCATCAAGCTGTTCCCTGGGAGATTTTACGCCCAGAAGTGATTCAATCAATTGCAAGCCAGTGGACAAGATAGAAAGAGAAATACTCAAAGCAATTCACTGACGGGCAGTGAGTTAATTGGTTGATCGGAACTGTTGACCAACCATCACGAGAATGTTCAATTTCTGTGACAATAGGTTGAAACAAACAAGTGAGTGGTTGACTTTGCTTATGATGTCAATGGATTTTTAGTCCTCCACCAATCGTATATATATAAATAGGCACATATTAGATGTTGCCAATAATCCCAATTGCACCATCAATCATATGCATCCATGGTGTTCCTTTTGAGTCACCTTGCACTCTGGTGCATTTTCATCGATTTCGTTAGGTATGTGTTTAATATATCAGTTGGGTCCCTCCAGGATCAGCTGTATTGTGTTGGACAGGATTTTGCTCCATTCACTTGGTTTATAAGGGTACCCTTTTAACGTTTATTTTAAAAGTTTGGTAGCATTAATGTGATCAATTCCTACAGATGTACTACATGTTATCCAGTCGATCTCCTTCAGGTTGAAGTCTCCTGTAATCAATAGATGAGATGGTTTCATATTATAGATTTCTTGAATGTGTGTAACCTGAGTGAGTTCTTGGTAGTTTTCAGGGGGCTGTTTGGACTGCGATATATATATACATCCAGTGAGCAGTCTTTTCCTTCTAGACTTATTGAACACCAGACTGATTCCTGGTACTGTAAGTTTTCTACCTGAACACAGTTGATACTGTTTTTGACATAAACTATAATTCCTCTCCTTCAGTTCAATTCCGAACTATTATTGAACTGGTTGTAGCCCTCAATATTGTAGTAGATAGACCAGGGCTCAAATTTGGACCGTTCGGAAAGTATTTCGGTCCGGGTTTGTTTCCTCTACAATGGTTTGTAATGTTGTTTATATGTTTGTCCCATTGTAGGTTATTTTGTTATGCTAATACTAAGTATTTGCTGGATTCTACTTGGTGTAATATGTGGTTGTGGAGTTTGTAGTCCGTGTTTTGTTGCGTTTCGGTGTAATTTTGAGTAGGCCTACCCCTATGTTGCATTTGTCAGAGTGAAATTTCATAAGCCAGTCCGTCTCCCATTGTCAGTCTGCTTATTGAAAACAACAACAGCTTCATGATAATTTGAATATTCGCTTTTATGTGTATTATCGTCGAGTTATGAAATCAAACTAAATGTGACACACTAGTAGAAAAGTTATAAATTGAGTCATGATCATCGCTGATTTCGTCACGGCCAGCGGTCCAATATTTAGCGACCACGCCTGCTTACTAGATGTAGGTAGACTTCCTGTCATTTTCTGCTTCAGATTCATGCACACAAATTAATAACGTCAAAGATTATAAAATGATGACTTACCAGGTATATACTTTATTTTCCGTATTTGTTTTGGTTTGGCAATCTCTTTGGCGCGCAAATGCAAACTGGAGTTCTTATTTTAAAACGCTGCGTAGATCATGAAGATGGAGTCTAAAACCGGTCCGAATACGGACGTCAATCCGTATCATGACAGATTGAAAGGGTACAATTTACATTGAAATAGTCGTTCCGACTAGTTCTAATTTCCAGTCATGCCCAACATATCACAGTTTAAAAAATAAATAAATGAATTTGGTGTTGTAGATGAATTTGGTGGTGTCGTATTTTCAAAATTTGTACCCCATTAGAAAAATAAACCTGTTTACCCAAAACTATTCCGTAAGGTGATGATATGATTTTAATCAGATTGTCAGAATATTAAACAATAATGCCCAAAGATTAGTTATATATCTTCAAAAATAGAACATTTGAAAAGCCATGTTTAATTATCTGTGTACCACGTGAACCTTCACGAGCAAAGAATGTAAACAAACAGGCCCAGAGGGCCTGTATCGATCACCTAAATATTTAGCAATCATAGCAACATATTGTCATAAAATATTACACGGTACTACAAATATTTCACTTGCAAACCTTGTCGACTCTATCAGTTGAAACTGCCAGCCAAATATTATTATATGATTCTCGAACCCGGGACCTTCCGAACCCTTAAGACAGATGCTCTACCTGATTTGAGCTACCTGCATGGTCACCGACGATCCAGTCCAGTATACGTTCCGCTACATTCCTCCCTCCTTTTTCTAAGTCTTCACCCCCGAAGAAACAATTTTAACTATAGTTACAACCCAGGTTCGATGCTTGAAACAAGGGTTGGTCACAGGCAACACTGTAACAGACCGGGGTTCAAAACCGGGACCTTCTGAACTCTATAGACGGATGCTCTACCTACATGGTCGCCGATGATATACAGTCCAGTTCCGCTACAATTCTATGCTTTTTGGTTCTTCTTCAGAAGTTGCAGTGTTTGACATATTTTTCCCTGTGACCTTGTAAGTAGGTCAGGGTCATTTTCATTCTCAAACTTTGTCGGGCTCTATCCCAAGAAGCTACCACCTAAATCTTATGTTTCCATTCCGTTTGGCTCTTCAGAACAAATCTGTTGTTGACCTCTGTGACCTTTAAAGTAGATTGAGGTCATTTTCATTTGCATACTTTGGTGAGCTCTATCCAAAGAAGCCACCAGCCAAATATTATGATTCTATGCCTTTCAGAATCTTCAAAAGAAATCGTTTGAAGTGTTTGGCATATTTGACCGCTGTGACCTTGAGAGTAGGTGAAGGTCATTTTCATTCTTATACTTTGTCGGGTTCTATCCCAGGAAGCCTCCAGCAGTTCTTCAGAAGAAGTCTTTTGAAGTGTTTGGCATATTTGACCACTGTGACCTTGAAAGCAGGTCAAGGTCATTTTCATTCTCAAACTTTGTCGGGCTCTATCCCAGGAAGCCACCAGCCAACTATGAAGATTCTATACCTTTCAGAATCTTCAAAAGAAATCGTTTGAAGTGTTTGGCATATTTGACCGCTGTGACCTTGAGAGTAGGTGAAGGTCATTTTCATTCTTATACTTTGTCGGGTTCTATCCCAGGAAGCCTCCAGCAGTTCTTCAGAAGAAGTCTTTTGAAGTGTTTGGCATATTTGACCACTGTGACCTTGAAAGCAGGTCAAGGTCATTTTCATTCTCAAACTTTGTCGGGCTCTATCCCAGGAAGCCACCAGCCAACTATGAAGGTTATATGCCTTTTAGTTCTTCAGAAGAAGTCGTTTGAAGTGTTTGACATATTTGACCCCTGCGACCTTGAAAGTAGGTCAAGGTCATTTTCATTCTCAAACTTTGTCAGGCTCTATCCCAGGAATCCACCAGCAAAATATAAAGATTCTATACCTTTTGGTCCTTCAGAAGAAGTCGTTTAAAGAGTTAAATATATATGACCCCTGTGACATTGAAAGCAGGTCAAGGTCATTTCTATTCTCAAACTTTGTCAGGCTCTATCCCAGGAATCCACCAGCAAAACATACAGATTCTATACCTTTTGGTTCTTCAGAAGAGGTTGTTTAAAGAGTTTAACGTATTTGACCCCTGTGACCTTGAAAGCAGGTCAAGGTCATTTTCTTAAACTTTGTCAGGCTCTATCCCAGGAAGCCACCAGCCAAATATGAAGGTTATATACCTTTTGGTCCTTCAGAAGAAGTCGTTTAAAGAGTTCGACATATTTGACCCCTGTGACATTGAAAGCAGGTCAAGGTCATTTTCATTCTAAAACTTGTTGGGCTCTATCCCAGGAAGCCACCAACCAAATATAAAGATTCTATGTCATTTAGTTCTTCAGGAGAAGTCGTTGAAAGAGTTTGACATATTTGACCCGTTACCTTGAAAGTATGTCAAGGTCATTTTCATTCGCAAACTTTGTTGAGCTCCTACCAAGGAAGCTTTCAGTCAATTATCATGGCTCTATGCCTGTCCTTTCTCCAGAAGAAGTTGTTCAAAGGAAAAGTTAACGGACGACGGACGCTGCACCATGACAAATGCAAATAAGTAAAAGGAAAATATGTTTCTCTTCAGTGCCATGAGCCAATTAATTTATTGACGACTTAACAAAGACTTGCATGTACGTCTCTGGTTTTAAATGTCCCTTTTGTACACCCAAGAACAAAAAGAGCAAAACCTTTCGATACTTTTCTTACACAGCAAGATAATAAGAGGCCCAGTTGCTTTGATAGCTTACCTGGAATATAATTTTCAATTAAAACCTAATGCATACACATCTTATAAAAGCTTTACAAATCAAAGATTGTGTTGAATTAGATTTTTTCCAGTAACTATTTGAATGCATGTAAATGTTGTTTTTCAATTAAGCTTGGAAAATGATCCCTAGGAATTGGATAAACATTCTCATAGAAAACAATGAACATCCAAATTTCTTTGTCACAATATTTTATTAAATTTTAAGATACAACAAACGATATGAAGACAAGCTGTCCCATATGACCTAAGATACCAATTCAGTGGCCTAATCCCTAAGGAACCACAGACAAATGGTGGATCGTCGGATGGGATGGAAATTACAACCCTTCAAATCAAAGTGAGGATCAAAACATAGATTGTCCAATAATTAATCAACTTCAACATCAAACATAATCAGGCAAGATATTCTCTGTTGTCATTTCGTATCTTTAAATATATTACAGGAGCCGAGGTAGATGTTACCACATTTGACTTGTGAAAAGCCCAAACTCATCAATAAGACTGTGCTTGGTAATAAGCCCACCCCCTGTTGTAATACTACTGTACAGTGTCCAGTTTACCTCCGACAGTGATATGGAGCCTATCACTGGTAAAAATGTGGAACATGATTTTACTGAAAACTAATTAACAGATTATTATTCGAAACAAACCAGCTTTCATCCTGTGATATAATACAGGTTAAACAGGGTTTAACCATTTATGTAGTCATAATGCAGTGTCTATATAAATTAAGGACTACATAGAAAAGGGTTATACAGTCAATACCTTTGAATCTGAAGAACGCAGACTTTACATAGACTGATGGTATTAAAAGGCATTAAGATGCTTCAATTGATCTAAAATCAAAGTCATAGCAAACACATGACTTAATTGATCATTCTATTATTATAGAATGTATAAGATACGTCACTTTTCTATTTGAATGTAAAATCACATCAAAACCATACTGAAAACATTATCAATCAAGCTAAATTTTATTTTTTGCTAGTACCATATTTTATTAAGACACAAGTATACACATTAGGAATCATTCAATGCGACACTGTCACTAGTTAACATAAAAACTTGTACTTGTACTCGACACAAGTATTTATATATATCATGCACTTAACTTCCAATCACAATCCAAATGACACATCTCACTTCTAGTCATAATCAGAATCACATACCTCACTTCTATTCACAGTCCAAATGACACATCTCACTTCCAGTCACAATCCAAGTCACACCTCACTTCCAATAACAATCCAAGTCACATCTCACTTCCAATCACAATGCAAGTCAAACCTCAATTCCAGTCACCATCCAATTTGCACGACTCACTCCCTGGTCACAATTCAAATCACACACCTCGCCCTCTGGTCCCAACACAAATCATGCAGTTTCTCAATGGATAAAACCACCAATGGCTTTGATGTCACTCCATTCATTTACGTGTCAAGTTACACCTCTCATTCACATTTCTGCCAGTTTTCTTAACTCAATGTTGTATGATAAACAGTTTTTTTTAAAGAATGCTCCCACGACCAATTTCAGAATATATTAAAGGTACTCAACTTTTAAATGTATTATGCTTCTAAATTAATTCATCACTTTCTGTGTTGTTCAATTTGATGACATAAATGTATCATCCAAATGATATTGCAGTCCCTAATACAAATATACAACATTGTAATCATACATCAGTCTTTATCTTACAAACGCACCACATCATCATACATAAGTCTGTATCATAAAAATTAACATTCTCATCATATGGCACTCTCTAACATACAACACATGTTCATAAAACATCAGTTCCTATCTTACATAAGACATCCTAATCATGTCAGGCTCTAAACAAAAAACAACATCCTTATTATTCGTCAATCCTTTTCAAATGCACAACATTTGTCATCATACATAGTCCTTATACAAATACACATCATCCTAATCATACGTCAGTCTCTATCATAGAAACACATCCTAATTAAACCAGTCAAATACACAATTCCTAATGGTACACACACATCAGGCCCTACCATACAAAAACAACACTGCCATCACGCCTCCACATACTCACAATAATATAGGTTAAATACACTTTGTATTTATAAATAGCTTTATATTATTAAGATAAATTAGTCTCTAAAGCGAGTCTTGAAGCTGTTGTGGATAATAAATGACAGGACATAAACCTGTTATAGTAGGCCGATATAAAATCACAAATTAACTTGTAAAAATAACTGCCAAAACATCAAAGAAGAAAAAAACATCTTCTAGAGTGTCTGCATGTATCAATGAGTACAAACCTGACCCATCAATGATTACAAGTAGGATTAAAGCAACTACCAAACATTATAGAAGAAAAGCATCTTCTAGACTGTCTGCAAGTAATGAGTACAAACCTGACCCACCAATTAATACAATATTACAAGTGGGATTACAGCAATGAGATTGTATTCAAATAATAACAGCAAAGGCCTGTGTGATGTATTCACTATTAACCTTTCAATGAAGTTGTCAAATACAAATACAATGCACTTTTTAAAATTATGAGTATATTCATATATTTCATATGAAAAAAAAGCCATTATATATTCCTTTTAATAATTCACAAGACCATGAATGAAATTAGATCAATGATACATTAAAAAGATGACAGTAAGGAAACTCAATATACATTGACACCTGTACTATCTGACTCAATTAGTAGGTCATTCTGACATCCTGTCGTAATTGACATGCATCTGGAATCCCATTTTATGTAAAATCTGCCACATAAAACTAGTGCGTTTCATTGCCCGTCTAATCCAACCGATTTGTTGCATTTAACCCATTCACCCCTAAAGTCACATTTGAACCTTATAAAATCAAAGACTGACAAGTCCAGTTTAAATATTTCGGAGTGACTGAGTTAACAGAATGTCAGATTTAGACAGGTTTCACTTCATTTTTCTGGGAACATTATCAGATTTCTTTGCTGAATTTGAGAACTTAAAATAATAACAAAGAGATTCACAACAAACAACAGTGTTCCTAAACACTGGATTAACCCATCCAATATCTTTTCTTTTGATTTGATGTGGTTGGTGAAAAATTGAAAAAATTAAAAATCACATGAAAAATCTTTTATCCAACACTTTGATAGTAGAGTGTGTTTATAACCATCCCATCAGTACAAAGTTTGTCCAGTATAAATGGGTTCAATGATTTGGGAGCACTCTCACAGACCAAACCCTCCACACTTACACACCCACTCTGGACCAGGCTAAGCCTAGGCCCCCTCTCTCTCACACCACTCTCCTATATCAAGCCCTTCATCTTCTTGTACTCCTCCAGGTTCAGGGACCGCCGTGGAGTGGGGTCCCGCACATTCTGGGCAGATCGGTTGTTCACAGCCATTACTGGAGCTGGAATTAAACAACAATTTTTAGACAAATGGACTGGTGTCTGGTCACATGTCACATAGTACATGTACATACAGACAGTGTGTAAAACTGAATGTCAAAAGGACGCTACTGAAGAATTCTTTGATGAGCAAATCTTTGTAAATTCACAATCAGATAACAAGAACAGTGAAGAATTATTTTTGTCTGTGCAATTCAAAATGGGATAAACTTGCACTGAATTCCATAGTAATCATGAATTACTTTTGTTCATCATGTTCCAAACAACTGGGACATAGTTTGTTTGTTAAAAAGGGGTAGATTTTGTAGTCCGATATCCTTTTTTGGAGAGCTTTAGCAATGACCTTAACCCTTTCACCACTGTATACCATAATGGACTTGTCCATATCAACGCATAGTATTGTCTACTAAAGTTACATAGGGGTGAAAGGGTTAATGGCCTGCATTTGCATAAAGTTGTTTGGAAAATTTAACATGTGAAAATGTTGCATTTAAAAACAGAAATCAGTACGACCCAATCAGACACTTTTGAATGCCATAGGATAGACATACCAGACAAACAAATGTCTCTTTTACCTTGATATCATGGTAATTATGTTGACAGTTCAATTTTGAAAGTTTGATTAAATAATCTCCCTATATAACTATTTCTACAGCTATATTTTACATTAAAGACAATGCTGTTTTAATTACAACCTTCAAATTTTCAGAACTAATCGGATCGGAATAGGAAAACCAAATGGTACATACTGCTTGATGGCACCTCCAAGTCGATAGTGATATCGAAGTTGTGGACGTCAAAAAGGTCCTCTGTTGACTTCTGTTTGGTGGGTTCTAGGAACTTTAGTGGATCAGCCTTATTTAACTGCCAGTAGAAAGCCAACATTTACAGCAAAATCAATTTCGTAGAAATATTGCAATAATAATCTTGAACCACATTTGGTGTTCTCTCAAATTTTTCATTTTTTATTCTCCTAAACTTTTCAAACAGGTGGTTGATCTTTCAAAAGTTGACAAGTTACAGTATCATAAACAGCTTGTCCTCTATAAAATAGCCAGTTCACATTTGATGAAAAGCAATATTGCATTTGATGGGAAATCATGTCACCGAAACACAAAATATATCAACATTTATTGATAGATTGAATAACAATACCTACGTCATTTAAGTTTAACAATCAGCATTTTTTAAGGAACATATACTTCATATTGATTTGGTCCTTTCAATAACACTTTTCTTTGGGTTTTAAGCGTACATACCTTTTCTGATCTGCTTTTTCCATTATCACCCTGTCATCATGTAACAAAGAAAAACATTATATAAGAAAAGGTGTCATCATCATCATCATCATCATCATCATCATTACATCATCATCATCATCATCATCATCATCATCATCATCAGGTAAAAGAATAATACAGATATTCTTCAGATAAGAATATACAGGGGAGGGGACAATACACTTGTTTGGTGTATTTGGTGGTGATGTTTGAAATAATTGTTAACATTTGTATAGCAGGCAGGAAAACAAGAGGCCCAATCGGCCTGCATCGCTCACCTGGTATAAATCTCACACTTGTAATCTTAAAAGTGGACTAAAACACACCCAAAGGCAAAATATCAGTGTTTCATTCATAAGAACCTATTAAAAGATTTAAACATATGACACCTGTGACCTTGAATGTCGAACAAGGACATTATATAATATTAGGTTGAACAGAGTTTAGAGTCTTTCAACCCAGTATGCTTCTGGAAAAATATCATTACCCTGGACCTTTTGGTTAAACAGAACAAATCATTTAAACAATTAAACATATATTGACCACTGTGACCTTGAATATGGGCGAAGGTCATTCACTTGGTAGTCCTTCATCCCAGCATGTTAATGGCCAAATATTATCACCCTTGGCCTTTTGCTTATTAAGATGAAGTCATTCAATGGTTTTAAATATATTTGACCCCTGTGACCTTAAAATATAGAGGTCAAGGTCATTCATTTGAACTTGGTAGTCCTTCGTCCCAGCATGTTATTGGCATTATCCTATGCCTCTTGGTTATTCAGAAAAAGTTGTATGTTTTAGAACATATTTGACCCTGTGACCTTGAAAAAAGATGAAGGTCATTCATTTGAACAAACTTTATAGCCCTTCATCCCAGCATGCTCCTAGCCAAATATCATCACCCTAGGCCTATTGGTTATTCAGAAGAGGTTGTTTAAATGTTTAAAACATATTTGCCTTCTGTGACCTTGAAAGTGGGTCAAGGTCATTTATTTGAACAAAATTGGAAGCCCTTCATCCCAGTTTATTACAGCCAAAATATCATCACCCTAGGCCTCTCGGTTATTAAGACAAAGTTGTTTATAGGTTTTTAACATATTTGACCCCTGTGACCTTGAAAGTGGGTCAAGGTCATTTATTTGGACAAACTTGGTAGCCCTTCATCCCAGCAAATAACTGCCCAAATATCATCGCCCTAGGCCTCTCGGTTATTAAGAAAAAGTTGTTTAAAGGTTTTAAACATATTTGACCCCTGTGACCTTGGATATAAGTCAAGGTCATTTATTTGAAAAATTCTGGCAGCCCTTCATCCTAGAATGTTACTGGCCAAATGTTATCACCTTAGGTCTCTTGGTTTTTCAGAAGAAGGTGTTTAAAGGTTTTTAACATATTTGACCCCTCTGACCTTGGATATATGTCAAGGTCATTTATTTGAACAAACTTGGTAGCCCTTCATCCCAGCATGTTACTGGACAAATATCATCACCCTAGGCCTCTTGGTTATTCAGAAGAAGTCGTTTAGAATTTTTAACATATTTGACCCCTGTGCCCTTGAAAATTGATGAAGGTCATTTATTTGAACAAACTTGGTTGCCCTTCATCAAAGCATGCTTCTGGCCAAATATCATCACCCTAGGCCTTTTGGTTACTGAGAAGAAGTTGTTTAAAAGTTATGCAGCGAGGAAAATTTCCCGGTATACAGTATCTGAATATTTAGATACATATTTCGGGAAGAAAATCGAACCTGATTTGACCTGTCCATCTCTGGTAATGACAGGTTCTTGAGTTCCTCAGCTTTGACTTTTGCTTCAATATCTGCAACTGATTCTTTTGACTAAAATGAAAAAAACATTGTCAATCAATGCTACTGCACACCTAAAAGACATACTACCCGGTATTTATCGTGAATGAAGCTTTGTCAATTCTAGAATCTACTTTCATCAACAAACTCGAAAACCAAATGTTATTCTGCTTGCTGTATGCTACTAGATATAAGGAGCGATGCATACCTTGGTCACAATGGTTGGCCGACATTGTCGCCGTGTGAAGGGGTCAGCAATTGCTGTTTTCATGGCTGCCACTTCCACTTTACAGGCTTCCTCTGCGTCGATCATGTTCCTCAGTCTGTTACGCTGGTTGATATAACTGAAACATAAACATGTTTCTTTGTAGCAAATGGGCTTTATCTATGCTGGTGTTATAGACTGAACTACTCACTTACAACTCAAGTGATACCTCATCACAGTTACATGCAACTGGCAAGTAACTTTCATAAATATAAACTTTATTTATTTTACAACAATCATGAAACAAGTAATTTCAACTTATATGATTCACTCTTGTTGGCCCGGGTGTTAGCGTGCAGGGGGGTCTTCTTGTGGGAGGAAACCGGAGTACCCGGAGAAAACCCACGTGGTCGGGCAGGTGACCCCATACCTTTTCGCCTCTGATTGGGGAATCGAACCCCGAGCTCCTTGGTGAAAGACAAGTGCGCAATCCACTGCACCACCCGACCACCCCAACTTTTCATTGGACACATTAATCTCAGTTCTACCTTGTCAATGAAAATAAAATAGTAACAAAATCTTATCTGTGTTGACAATTTTCTCCTTCCCTTTAATACCCCCCCCCCAAAGTATAAGATGTGCTACCGTGGCATATTCAGCAGGTTTCTTTTACTTCCTTTATGGGATCTGTTTTCTTTTGTTACCACTTCTGGTTCGACTAAAAAAGCCTAAATTAAGATTGATCTGGGTAAATAATTGCCACCAAAGAAATGTTGCTTATTTTGATCCCAAAATGATTATTAATGTACTATTAATTGAATCACCACAGGGGTGAGAGTTGATAGCCACTATTTCCACAGGCCTCTCCTGCTTTAATAATACCGTTAACTGATGGTGGGATATCAAACCTCCTTAAATGTGTAAGAAAAGCATAGGAAAGCTGGTTATCCACTAGACACACTGGTGACCTTTCATCACTTTTGCCATTTTCTTTTTATAGATTTGCCAAACTTCCCCTTTTTTCAAATAGTGATATAGGTGATAGGCAGAGTAAGGCCTGTGAGAGGACTCACCTGATAGAGCTGATGTTACTGGACCTCCTACGGTCAAGCTCTGTGGCTCGCTCCTCCAGCTGTTCTAGCTCCTGTTTGATTTTTGATTGACCAACCTGGTCACCTTCAATATCAGCCACTTCCTAAAACAGAATAATGATTATTAAATGTATGGATCAAAACATTGGTTTGTGTGAGAAAATAACGTTGTTTTCTCAAAAATTGATGATGTTACTCTCACAAACAAATGACGTAACAATCAATACCTGCCCTCAAGTGCAGATAACTCTGCAATACGCAAAAACGGAATAGGTGAAAGAGTATATGAGATGTATTCCAGAAAAGTGACACTGATAGACGGACTTGCTGATGGAGGGAATGACAATCTAATAACCTCTTGGCTAGTACCTGTGGGTGATCAATACACTGCCTATAGGACCAAATAGGGACTTGTAGATAAAAGAGGTATTAAAGACATTGAGATTTATGATATCCAGTTCAACTGTTTAGAGTCACTTAATGTAGAAATAACATGAAAGGTTAAACTGTATTATTACTGGATTTTAACTGTTGACATAATCCTTCCTGCCCTGACATGATATTTTTTTCTGATCTAAGGACACTGAGCATCCTGGTAAATTTTTCAGTTAGAATTCCAAAATACACATACACTGGAAAACTCTAAATACCTTTTGTTTTAAAAGCAGTGTTTTCTTTACAGCATAATTATGAGGATTCTTCTTAAATTTCAGTTTGTCAGCAACAATCTGCAATAAAGAAAATATGTTACCTGTTGTTTCTGTCACAAAATACATTGTAATAAATCAAAGTTAAGATGTCTCTAGGACATTTGAATATTTTCACTAGTTCAACTTTCCCCAGTCAGACATCACTAAAGAATAATTGCACCACACTTCAACTGACCTCTTCAATGTCATTTTCTTTAAATTTATATTGCAAAGCATCTCGTATATCCTTGAACTTCCTTTCAATCTCATCTATAGTTGGCAGGGTGAGCCCTCCCAGCATCATGGCCTCCTTCCACTTGAAGAACTCTGAGTCAGTGAAGTCTTGATTGGAGACAAATTCTAATCGATACACTCTTTCTGAATGGCCATGCCTGTCAATGAAAGCACAAGCATGTATCGTAAGAGTACAGAATCACAACACATTTTTGATTGAGCACAGTTGCACAAGTTTGGTTTATTTTATATCTATAAAATATTTATCACTTTCCAAATAGTTTCAACATTTCTAAACGAAATAACTGATATGATATTGAGTTTGAGCTCCATGTTGGTATGTGTTCTCCCCAGTTGGTACACCTTGGTTTTAACTTACCTGAGTTTGAGCTCCTTGTTGGTACATGTCCTCCCCAGTTGGTACACCTTGGTTTTAACTTACCTGAGTTTGAGCTCCTTGTTGGTACATGTCCTCCCCAGTTGGTACACCTTGGTTTTAACTTACCTGAGTTTGAGCTCCTTGTTGGTACATGTCCTCCCCAGTTGGTACACCTTGGTTTTAACTTACCTGAGTTTGAGCTCCATGTTGGTACATGTCCTCCCCAGTTGGTACACCTTGGTTTTAACTTACCTGAGTTTGAGCTCCTTGTTGTATGTGTACTCCCCAGTTGGTACACCTTGGCTTTAACTTACCTGAGTTTGAGCTCCTTGTTGTATGTGTACTCCCCAGTTGGTACACCTTGGCTTTAACTTACCTGAGTTTGAGCTCCTTGTTGTATGTGTACTCCCCAGTTGGTACACCTTGGCTTTAACTTACCTGAGTTTGAGCCCCTTGTTGTATGTGTACTCCCCAGTTGGTACACCTTGGCTTTAACTTACCTGAGTTTGAGCTCCTTGTTGTATGTGTACTCCCCAGTTGGTACACCTTGGCTTTAACTTACCTGAGTTTGAGCCCCTTGTTGTATGTGTACTCTCCAGTTGGTACACCTTGGCTTTAACTTACCTGAGTTTGAGTCCCTTGTTGGTACGTGTAGTCCCCAGTTGGTACACCTTGGCTGTATCAACAACACCAATGATTTCCGCCACCTGCATTAAAATGTCAACACAACCATTATTTCCCATTTTGAATACTGACAAGACGGTATTTCCCATTTTGAATACTGACAAGACATTTTGTTTCTATGACTAATCAAGGTATTCTTTCTTCCTTTTTTTTTTTTTTTTTTACATTTTCACAAAAGACGATTATTTGATAAGATGAAATATTGATAATCTTGGTACAGGATGGAAGTGTATAATTGCCAACTTATTTCAAGATGATTTTTTTTATAACACTAACTTTCCACATATTTTCTTTGCCTAGCAATAAAATGAATCTGCAATATATAAACAAAACAGTGAAAGAAAGATCATGCAATGAGCGCAAGCCATATTCAATTGGTGGAAGTTCTGATTAAGTATTGACATCAAAATTTTATCTATCTGCCATGGAAACCTTTATTCAAACATCCTCATCATTTCCCAGAAAATATCTTTAACAAATGCACAAAATTCATGTCTTCTCGATTTGCAGTAAAGTAAAAACTACATAATCATATCCCTAACCTACTACAACACTAAAATACTCCACATCTTACATCATACTTGGATCCAAACTCTACGTATCTAAACAGACATACCCTGTAGACAGCTTGGCCTTCATGGTTGCCTATGCCAATCCTTACATAGCAACCTTGTACCGTCTTTCTAAAGAAGGGCATGTGACACCACCTGTAGTATAATAAAACAAGGCTCTCTCTGAATCACAAATCCTGCTTTTCATAGCCAGACCAAGATGCATGTACATTGAACATATTTATAACTTGCTTTCCACAAAAGGATTTAATAGGGTTAACTGGTATTATGAGAAGTTCTCTTTTCACAACCAATAACATTTTCTATGTGGCGTTTCGATGACTAGTACAACATGTACACTGTCACCTTCATCAGACAAATGACCAATGAAGCGTATGCATACAAAGGTGTAAAATGTGTACGAGTTGTCCATAAAATCGATGTCGATTTCGGCTACGCTGGAAACGTATCTACAATAGTTGTTATATATGAACCGAAATGACTCAATTCAGCTACGCTTTGTTAACACTTGGTCATAGATGTGCGAGAGTCTTAGAGCCCCCTCGTCTCGATTTAGAACTGGCCCTCTGTAACAATACTACAGGACAGCAAGGCATATGAACAGCTGCAGACCAATCCAAACCAAAAGTTTAAAAGGCGTCTCATAGCCCTCCTATCAAAATTTAAACAAGAGAGCAAGATTACCGAGGGCCAATACAGATATCTGTATCCCATAGCAGAGAACACTCCTAGAAGTTACTGTACACCCAAGATCCACAAGCAGGGAAACCCACTGAGGCCTTGTGTTGACTACACTGGGTCCATTGGTTACAATGTTTCCATATCATTACCAGACATTCTTGGACCGCTACTGGGTAAATTAGAACACCGTGAAAAGAATTAAAAACATCTAGCTGAAGCTATGTCTAACATCATGATTCAGGAAGACGAAGAATTCATTTCACATGATGTTGTCTCTCTCTCTTTACCATCACCCATTGACGACGCACTTAGAATCATTCAGAAATGCTTAGAATTAAACAGATCCTGGCACAAAAACACAAACCTTCAGATTCAGGACATCATGGATTTGCTGGAGTTTGTGCTAACAATAACATATTTTAGTTTCCAGAACAACATCTATCAACAACGCTTCGGCACTGCTATGGGTAGTCCAGTGTCTCCCATTGTTGCCAATTTGTTCATGGAACATCTGGAGCAAGAAGCAATAGCCACTGCCCCCATAGAATGCAGGCCTAGCTTATAATTATGGAAACGTTATGTTGACGACATACTTGAGATAATCAAGAAGGGGTCACAGAAAGATTTGACCACACATATATCAACACTCTAGATGCCACTAACAACATCAAATTTACATGTGAGGAAGAAACCAATGGCACAATGCCCTTCCTAGATACTCTACTTGTAAAAAAAGAAGAAGGAACCGTGAAGGTATTGGTCTATAAAAAAAAAAGACCCATACGGACCAATACCTGAACTTCCAATATCACCATCCTTTACACCAGAAGTTAGGCGTCATACGCACATTGCTCAACAGATGTGATTCAATAGTCACTGAACAACCGGACAAAACACAAGAGCAGAATCACATTGCTAGGGCAATGAGAAAAGGCCAATCAAGGATAAGAACAAAACCAAAGGTCAAGTGGTCATCCTGTATATAAAGGGTATCTCTGAAACCATCCAGAGGATATATCGCGGTCATGGCATAGCAAGAGCCATGAAGCCCCACAAGACGCTTCGCAATATCCTAGTACACCCTAAGGATAAAACACCTAAAGAAAATGTCGCAGAATGCATGTACAAAATTGGATGCCAATGCTGTGACGCGTCGTATATTGCAGAGACTGGAAGGCAATTTGGGGTCCGCCTTGGTGAACACCGGAAAGACACAGAAACTTAAGGTAGGAAATCCACCAGATCTGAAAGAAAACAGTTGGAGTCCCAGATAAATAAATCAGCATCACAGACCATGGCACACAGAAAAACCATGTGATTGACTGGGATAACTCCAAAGTTTTGGACAGAGAGAGCAATCTGTTCAAGCGGCAGGTAAAGGAAGCCATCTTGATACGCCGCAGTGGGCCAGTTCTAAATCAGGACGAGGGGGCCCAAAGACTCTTGCACATCTCTGACCAAGTGTTAACAAAGCGTAGCTGAATTGAGTCATTTCGGTACCTATATAACAACTATTGTAGATACATTTCCAGCGTAGCCGAAATCGACATTGATTTTGATGGACAACTCGTACACATTTTACACCTTTGTATGCATACGCTTCATTGGTCATTTGTCTGATGAAGGTGACAGTGTACATATCGTACAAGTCATCGAAACATCACATAGAAAATGTTATTGGTTGTGAAAAAAGAACTTCTCAAAATCAATACTTACCAACCTGAAGAAAATGTTTAGCAAAAATGGGTTAATACCTGGTAGTTTTCATTTCTATATACACCAACATAACTAATACTAAAGATACTTTATTACTGAATGCAATAAACCACTCACGTTGTGTATTCTCTACAGAGCTTTCTGGATAAATTTATAAAAAGACAGATTATTTATATTTGAAACTAAAATACGTATAACATTAAGTGAACATTGAATACATTATAAGCTTGCTATGTGTAGAAATTTATGGAGGTAACTATAAAGGAACATGTGGCTGAAAATATGACGAAATTATCCAAAAGGCCAGCATTTATCCAATGGCCAATTTGTTTTAAGATAGGCATATACAATTTATGAGAATAAAGACATACCGGTACAGGACTTCACAAATCAATCAAAACAGATACATACTTCTCAAGTTTATGCCGGGAAATTTTTACTTTTGTTAACTCTTCTTTTGTGCTGACAAACTGTACTTTCCTCTTCGATCCTCGGGTTGATCTGTCAAGAAATAAAACAGTGCTTTTTTACCAAAACATTCTCCCCTAAAATTTTCTCATTCATAAAAGATTATTTTTTCATTTTTCATCTCGTATTCAGATGAAAATGCAACATCTCATTTTGAACAGTAATAAATATGAATCAAGAATACTGGTTAGTATGTGTTTAACCAGTGTTGCATTTTAGTTTTTAATGACACACACACACACAAGGCCAATATTTAGATGAGTTTTCCCTATCATCATTAGGGGCCTTTCCCAATTCGCCAAAAATACACCCTGTCATCATCTGACTTTTGTAACTTACCCATGATCTGATTCAGAGTTGTAGCCACTGTAAGAGGACCCTGAGCTACTATCCGAGTCGCTCCCGAATTTATTTTCTCTTGTATCCTGATCTCGTGACCTTGACTTTGTTTCCTCCTCTCTTTCCTCTTCGTCATCATCTTCATCGTCATCATCATCGTCGTCATCAGAATAGATTTCACTGGCTTTGAGTAGTTTTTTCTTTTGTTCTTGTTTTTCTAACTCTTCAGCTGTTGTAATGAGATGATAAATAATTAATAAAATGGGATTTCAATCTATAAACCATCAGTTTCATTTCAAGTATTAAAGTGATCAAACAGGTTGTTCTAAGACTGATCAACCTAAAGTCAACTTACTTTCGAAACATTCATCTTATATACAGTCAACCTTCCTTAAATTGAACTTTGAAATTTCTAATTCCTTTGATGTGTTTAACTTACGGCAAAGTCTACATTTTCATCCTTGCCTAACACCACTGATGTTCCATTTATGAATCAAACTTTCATGAGATGAGTTTATCACTGTTTTGAACAACAAAACAGGTCCGATAGTTTGAAAAACATTGAAAAATACAACCAATAAATCAAAGTAAAACAACTACCTGTACAAGTAAATTGAAATGTCACCAGGTCATTTTAACACCTAAACATGCAAACTACAGTGTCTAAACACATGTTTAAATCCAATATGTTTAGATTTAAAATCAAATTTCTTGCCTCATGTTCCAACACTTAACAAGCATATTCTGTCTTATGCTGTATATACAGGATCTCAAAGATGTTCAAAGTTCAACATTTAAGAGTCACGTCTTGATGCTTCGACATTTTCCTGATGGTACCGCAAAGTTTGAAACAATGAAGTTTGACTGTATATGTTAACAAATAATAAAATTAAAAACTAAAACTGCATCTATAAAGATTCTAAATGATCACCCACATACAATTAATTTTAAAAAATCCAATATTTTCTGAAAATTTGCTTTAAAGACTTCTTAAGCAAATCAGCTTTTGAATAACTATATACAACAAGAGACTTTAAGAAACCTGTATCACTCATCTGTTAATGATAGAATCTTTAATGCAAAAAAATATTAAACAAGTAATTTTGTGCCTTCTGCATGGAGACCAAAAATGAGACATTGTAACATTTAGGACTTAAAACCTTACATTTTTCCCATTATCTTTACTTTTGTCTGTAGTGTAACCTTATGTATAATGTAAGTACTTTTTTCGTGTGGGATTTCAGGCTTGTGTCTGGGTTATGATGTTCAGTGAGATTGCACTTCAAGTATTGTGAGGACGTAAAACCCCAAACCAACCAACTTTAAATATTTGTTGATATGGATTTCATACTTGCCTAATTTTTTCTTTTCTTCACGTTTTGCCTTCAGATCTTTGAGTGCAGCAAACTTTTTACTGTCCTTTTTTTCCTCCATGTTTTTTCGTCTTTCTGTACTTCTCTGACTGGTAGATTTGTGAATTGCAGAATCGTTTGCCGGTTTGTCCTTATTCATTAGGCCTTTCTTCTTTGCCTGCCGAAGTTTTTTCTCAATTTCAAATCTATGGATTACAAGACCAATTCTTACAATTAGATAACAAATCTAAATACAAGAGAAAAATCATTTTTGTTAGCCATTATATAATATGAAATGATCAACAAATATCAAATCTTTTTGGAAATCAGTAGTTAGGACAGGAAGAGATTTAAGCAAAAGGGCTAATTTCAGATTGTTTTCAGTGAAATTTAAATTCCAATGGGTCATTTTTCAGTTGAATATCATATGGACCAGTGCCCCTAGCCTACCTACCAACTGAAAATACATGCTCACAGTTTCCAACTAGAAATGTTCAATTTGAAACCTAACCTGACCTCTATTAATAATAATAATAATTTGAGGTTCTTATATATACCGCTTTATTACAACCTAGTTCGTAGGTCGTCTCAAAGCGGTTCACAAATTATTATCCGTGGTTATAGAGTCTTTGCAACTAGCCAATATCTTTCTCAACTCCCTGAGGAGCCATACAGCCGGTGCTGCTATTTCAGCACTCACAGCTAGCATTCAACAATTCTAGCACTGCCCAACCACATACTCTTTTACAGCTGAGTAGACTGGAACAAGCAGAGTAAAGTATCTTGCTCAAAGATACAACACAGTCCCTATTTAGTGGTTAAGAGTTACCACATTCTTTAGTTGGAAAAAACATGATGTATCAAAGGTTCTAAATCTACCTTTTTCCTTCCACAATCCAGAAGGAATGTATTGCGATACAGATCCTGATATATTGTCAGTTTAAAAAGAAAAAGTTGTTAGAATGTTATCTAATCGAATCATATATGGGATGGATCACATAGATTTCCTTCAAACCAGCCACTGATGATGAAATTCCAACCGATTCCCAAAATTAGTAATAACCAGTTTATGGTTATACATGTATATATATCTGTTAAAATGTGTAGTAATTTACATGAAATAAGGTATTGAAAAATATTCCAATAAAGCGATATTCCATTTCTGTATTGTATTCAATATGATATGCCTGTGTATTGCGATATACCGTTTTCCCAATATATTGTGACAGCCCTACAACTGTTACAGATCAGATTACCTTGTTTTAAGTACTTGTCGGAGTTCTCCTCTGTTAAATAATATTTGTTCTCGTTCTTTTTCTGTCATTTGTTCCAATTTTTTTCTATCTTCTTCATCACCATAGAGATTTTCATCATATTCATCGTGAAAAGTTTCTTTGTCTGATTCTGGTTCTGATTCCTCAGCTGGGCCAGAGTTACTGCCCGACTCCGACACCTCCCCCTCCTCAGGTTCCGACACATGTTTGTCACTCTCCCCATCACTTTCAGATGATGATGATATTGCTGTAGATTTGCGACTTGCTTTCTTGTTTGTTTGTTTCAATTTCTTTTTCTTTTTTCCTTCCCCGTTCATTGTCCACTAGGTAAAACCATAAATGAGTCAATAACTGTACATATAAAATAGATTATTGATAATACCAGGTAAATTTATTTAGATCTGAGAATGGTGCTTACTTAAGATTTAATATTTATATTAAAAGTTTTATTTACCGGTTGTTTGAGGGTTTCAGTTTACCTCCATATGGAGGTATATGACCTCCGAAATGGCTTTTGAACCTCAAAATGTTAGAGGCTTGCTATATAAAGGGGTCTGATTTGCAAAAACACTGTATTTATAAAAGATAGAATACAATCATTTACAAAACATGCATTCATATTTCTTACATTATCATCACTTTCAGATGTTTCAGAGTCAGAATCTTGACGTTTTCTCTTTGTCAGTGCTTTCAAATCCTGTATAAATGAAAAGAAAGTAACAAAATTTTTATAAGACATTGAAATTATTAAGTAAACTTCAATCAAGAAATATGCCTTTATAGAAAAAAACGATGTTGGGAAACATATTCTTTGAATTTATGAATACCATACTTGCATATATTGTTTAAATGGCGATTCCTTTCTGTTTAAGGGCCAGGTGAGCTAAAATAAACAGTGCTTTACCTTTCTATTGCTTTGTGACCGTGTTTAATAGACTAGCATCCTGTATCAGTATGTGGTTAAGGTTACTTTAACTCAGTTGGTAGAGTGGAAGGCTTGGAAGCTAGGGGTCACTGGTTCGATTCACAGGAAGCACACAACTCTCTTGTCTGCTATGAATGGTTTTAAAAGGAGTGGGGGTTGAGGAGGTTAGTATGTAGATTTTAATTGTATATGAATACGGCTGTCTTCCAGCTTGGCATTAGAGGGAAAATGACTTTTGCTCCATTGGTAGAACAGTGGACTGAGAAGCTGGGGGGTTGCTGGTTCAATCCCTAAACAAAGTCCACTACTTTCTACTTGTAATAGGTTTGATAGAACATTTGACAACTGTGGTAAAAAAATCAGTGACTTCTTGTTTTCTGTTATGGTGAAAGTTGGCTATGCTATATTCCGTAGTCTCCTACCAAATTTAATTGTCATTTAGCAAGGAAGACCGATACACTTTATTTTAAATTCCCTTTAAAACTACTCCTGGTATTATAAATAGTTTGCAATGACTTGTAATTTGTTTCATGCTTTAAAAATAACTAAAATGAGAAGTGTTTGCTTACACAATGGATTTCCCAGACATTGTTTTTTGTCTTCATTATGTGTTTCTTGTCGATATATAATTCTCTGTGATCATTCTTTTTCTTTCTTCCAGGCATGAGTATTTTTATATAAAAGGCTTGATATGATTTCGTTACAAAGCTAAGACAGCTAACCAACCATTCAAATGATTTAAAGAATAGTTTATATATGCATATTTGTAAGAAGGGACTTTTTCCTGTGGAATTAGACTTTTATCTATTTATAGATGGCATTTTTATGTTGCATTATCAGTTTTCTACTGGTCAAGGCTCTTGTGTTTTGTTGTTTGGTTCACTTCAATTTTTTGGTATATTTGGTTTCTTGCTTTTTTTGGTCATGGAGTTACATTGTATGCCTATTTTCTGTTTAATAATAGGCATGCAAATATATCTGACCACGATATCAAATAATAGCCAGACACCCGAAATGCAGTGTTTAGGTTATTAATTTCTGGTTTCATTTCACCAGTCCATTGGAGTACATCCCTTGAATCAATATTGCGTGTTATATCCACATATATTGATAATTCACTTTTTTGATACGCTTATTTGCATTTGTTTGTTATTTTGTGGTCATTTATGTTAAGAATATTTGTTATGAAATGGCGGGTAAACTGAACAGGGAGAGGGGGGACTGGGTTCATCTTCATAATGTATCACACAAGTTTTGGTTGATTGATGCTAGTTTCTGGATCAGAAAGAGAGACTTAAGTTCGTACTTCTTCCAAATCTGATCCACTGTCACTTTCGTCACTATCTGAATCTATCAAAGCTGCGCTCTTCTTACGCTTTGACATTTTTGTGCTTATAGTTTATAAACAGTCCAGTTTCAAGCACTTTTCTTTCACTATTGATTTGTGTATGAATTCCCAGCATGCATTTTGACCGGAACTATTATCCTAGTCAGGGTTGTTAAAATGCTTGAAATTTTGAAGAGGGCAAAGGCTATTCGGCCAATCGCTTAGAAGAGTATGATTCGTCTATTTGCGGAAATGACTATTGAAAACAACACAGACGATTCATCTAAAATCATACCCCCAATATACAGACAAATGAGTGACCAGTCGACTAGACGATCGCTTTTTTTAATGTTTGCTAAAAGTCAATTATGACTTCGGTACCGCGGAAGTTTGATAGATGTAAAACATCAAAGCGTTATTGTGCTGAAAAACTCTGTTGCAAATCCGAAAGAGCTGCGGCGACCTTTCACTGTGACGACTGTCGTACAGACCAATGTTATGATTGCGTCACAAGTATACACCAGTCCAGTCCAAAATTTGAATTTCATGAGTGTTCTCATATAGTTCCTCCGTCGTTTGATTTGCTTTGCCAGATATCAAATGCTGATAGCAGCCGACAGTGTACTGCTATAAACTTCGCAGACCTTCACTGTGAAGTTTGCAATATCAACTTTTGCTTTACTTGTTTTGAGTTTTATCACAGAGGACCTAGAAGAACACACAGGAAAACGAATTTCAAAGATTATAAATCTCGGGAAGCAAAGAAAAAGTTGGAATCTATCGTAAAGCCGACTTCTCCTGTTGATATCCAAGACACTTCCTTGACCTTTGTATCTTGTCCACAAATACAAGTTGACCAAGAAGTGACAAGCAGTATGGATTCTTTCAACAGCGCAAATTCTAGAAACAGTCAGAATGGAAGCATGCCTGATTTGTGCCTAAACTCAACCGAGAAAGACATTATTAACATTGAGGAAGAACTGGCTGCTAGTCAAATAGATGAACAGCATTACAGCAGTCAAAGTTTCATGCTTCTTGATGGTCAGGAAAAGTTACAGGTATATTTGTTCCCCTAACATGGGGTTTGTAATCATTGGACACTAGAGAGCTCAGTTGACTGAGTTGGTAGAGTGTCGGCCATGAATCGATCATCATCATCATTGATGGCTGACTAGAACAATATGGTTCCGGGTTGTTTCGCCCTTAATCCTGTTTGCACTATGTGTTGTTTCGCCCTAAATCCAGTTTGCAAAAGGTTATTATGCCCTAACATAAACATATATTTGTAAGTGATAAGCATCTGTTAAAATGTTTTAAGTGTTTAAAAAAGCTTCTAAAATGTCATGCCTCACAAACAATTGTGTTGTCAGAAGGCTAATTTCATGCAGGTGTAGCTACATTGTATGTGCAGATCTTGTCAACCACATACAAATATAATGATTATGAGTCTAATGACAAAGAAAACTAGGGGAGACTTAGAAAAGTTTCATATTAGACTGTCTTAGCCCTTTACAACTAATCAGGTCTAAAACGTTTCACTCTATAAATGTTTTTAGAGCCAAACAACTTGGTGCGAAACAATCCGGGGCGAACAGGATTAAGGGCGAAACCACCTGAAACCAACAATATGAATTGCTGTCTTATGTTTAGAATGGAATTCCTCATTCCTCATAATTTTTCTATAGATTGATAGAGTCTTGGAATTCCTCATTATCATATGTTCAATTAAATTTTTAGCCCACCATCATCTGATCGTGAGCTATTCAAATCGTCCTGCCTCTGTGGTCCATGGTCTGTTGGTCCTTAAACAATTCTTGTTATCTCTATGTGTCAGGAAGTACCAGAGGAATCTTTCTCAAATTGTATATGTAGGTTCCCCTTGGTCCCTAGTTAGGTCACCTGAGCTTTGCTCAAGTGACCTATTCCAATCACTTTCTGTCCGTCGTGCGTAAACTTTTTACATAATCAACTTCTTGTCAAGAACCAGAGGATGGATTTTTTTCAAACTTGGTCAGAATCAACCTTGGTAGATGAGGCTACCAAATTGTAAAATTGGGATTCCTACCCCAACCCTAGGGGCCAGGGCGGGGCCCAAAAGGGAAAATTTACCAATATTTCAAAAATCTTCTTCTCCAGACTCAGAGGTATTACAGTCATTTTCTCTGCATGGATGGAAAGATCATCAGGGGCTTTATTTAAATTGTAAATTTCAGGACCCCCAAGCTATCTGTTCTCCCTTGGGGAGGGGGTAAAGTTTACAATGGTTTATATAGGGAAACAACACTTTTGGGTATATTTTGACAATTTTCTGTTGGAAATTATTTTTACTTGGTCAGAATCATCTTTGGTGGATGACGGTATCACATTGTAAATTTGGAATTCCTGCCCCATCCCCAGGGGTTAGAGCGGGGCCCCAAAGAGAACATTTACAACTATTTTAAAATTTTTGTCCTTTGATGACATGACAAGTATTGTATTTCACTTAGTTTACATGCTGATTTCCACATCACATCTAAACAATAAAATAAAGCTACCAGTACCTATGATATTACTCAGGTGACCGCTAAGGCCCTTGGGCCTCTTGTTGTGCCTATATAATTTTGAGACTGATCAGATAAACAAAATGGCAGACAGGCAGCCATCTTGGATTTTGACAGTGAAGGTTTGTCACGTCTATTTCTCAGGAAGTACTAGAATTTTTTCTCAAATTTTATATTTAGCTTCCCCATGGTCTGTAGTTGCATGTACATGTTTAATTTTAAGACTGATCATATAAACAAAATGGCTGACAGGCCATCATCTTGGATTGTGACATTAAAGGTTTGTTATCGCTATTTCTCAGGGAGTACTTGAGGGATCTTTCCCAAATTTGTTGTGCATGAACAAAATGGCAGACAGTTAGATATCTTGGACTTTGACAGTGAAGGATTGTTATGGCTATTTCACAGGAAGTACTGGAGAGATCTTTCTCAAATTTAATTTGTAGGTTACCCTTGGTCTGTTGTTGTGCATGTTAAATATTGAGACTGTTCATATAAACAAAATGGCCGACAGGCCACCATCTTTGATTGTGACATTAAAGGTTTGCTAACGCTATTTCTCAGGAGTACTTGAGGGATCTTTCCCAAATTTGTTATGTAGGCTCCCCATGATCTGCAGTTGTGCATGTTTAATTTTGAGAATGATCAGATAACAAAATGGCAGACAGGCAGCCATCTTGGATTTTGACAGTGAATGTTTGTTATCGCTCTTTCTCAAATTAAACATGTAGGTTCTTCGTCTGTAGTTGTGCATGTTTTTTTATGAGAATGATCAAATAAACAAAATGGTTGACAGGCAGCAATCTTGGATTTTTACAGTGAAAGTTTGTTATCGCTATTTCTTAGGAAGCACTGGAGGGATCTTTCTCAAATTTTATATGTAGGTTCTCCTTCGTGTCTCGTTGTGCATGTTTACTTTTAAGACTGATCAGTTTAACAAAATGGCTGATAGGCAGCCATCTTGAATTTTGACAGTGAAGGTTTGTAATAGCTATTTCTAAATAAGGACTGGAGAGATCTTTCTCAAACTTGACATGGAGGTTCCCCTTGGTATGTAGGTGTGCATGTTTTTTTTATGAGACTGATCGGATAAACAAATGTTTGATTTTGACAGTTAGTTAAGGTTTGTTAGTGTAAATGTATTCCCAGGAAGTACTGGAGGTGAATTTACTGTTAACATGACTCGATCAAACAGATTAGAGAAAAGAAGAGAAAAGATCAAACTGACAAAGAAGTAATGAAGATGGTACAATGGTGGGCACGAAGATCCCTTTGGGATCTCTTGTTTCTCTGAACATGCATGGATCCTTGATGTTTTGTTACTCAGTAGCCTTCATACCTGAGATTGGAATGTTTCTGTACATTTTCTAAAGACAGAAAATGCCAAAGATTCGTATGTAATAAAAACATAGGTGGTCGGGTGGGGCAGTGGATAGCCACTTGCTTTTCATCAAGGCGGCCAGGGTTTGCTTCCCCGATCGAATGTGAAAAGGTATGGGGTCACCTGCCCAACCACGTGGGTTTTCTCCAGGTACTCCGGTTTCCTCCCACATTAAGCCCCCCCCCCCACCATGCTAGCATTTGGGCCAACAAGAGTGATTAATATAAGTTGTAAAAACTTGTTTCATAATTGTTGTAAAATAAAATAAAGTTTATTTAAAAAAAACTTCAACACAAAAATAGGAAACAAAGTACTAAGTCAAAACATTAGTCCCAGTGCTGAAAATCTTTTAAAAAATTGAAATGTCTCTTTGGAAGTACCGATGTTATTGAAACCACTTTATGGGAAAACTCAAATGTATTAAATAAGCACTGAAATGACCGAGTACTAAAATGTCCGTACCCCGAGTCTTGTCACTAATTACACAACAAATTTAACCACTAAAATGTGAGGTTGTTCAATAGATGAGAAAAAAATATGACTTAATTGACCCCATCTTACCAAAATACAATTGATAAAGATCCATGAGGGCTGTCCCTGTGCAAAATTCACAACCTATCATAGTGTATTGGTTTCTGGGAGGTTTTTGGCCAGTGATACATGTTGTACTTTATTAAAGGCTATATCTTTCGTAAGTTGTTTATTTTTTGGTTGGGTGTTAAGAGGCCGGGAGGAGTAACATTGTCATCACAGATGTATGTCATATAAAATGATTTAAAGTAGAAAACTGATCTAGACCAATGCTGGTCTCTTCAGTGCTTCTTATGAACATATGTGTAACTTGACCTCAGGACAGTCCTCAGGCACTATGGCACTAAGTAAAGGCAAAAAACTACAGCTAGTTTTGAAAACCCAAACTGAATGTTCTGTTTAGTGTTGCCTCCAGTCTTTTAACAAATACCCTACCAAAAGATACCTTGTTTCAATAGAGCAACACAATTGCATTCTTTTACAAAGTTTTTAACATTGTTGCTAGGGGTGTCACAATACGCCAAGAGTGTATCACAATATATTGCAATGCAGAATGAATATATTGTGATACGTATCCCGATATATTGTCATTTGAAAGATGTGCTCAATTTTATAATAAGTTATCAGAATTTTATCAAACATAATCATATATAATATGGATCTAAAAGATTTAAAAAATTTGTCAAACCAACCATCGATTACAAAATTTGAACTAATTCCAACCACTATTAAAAGCCTGTTTTATATTTATTGGCATATCTGTTAGAATTTGTAGTAATTTGCAAAGTTAAAACACCAAGCAGAATTAGATGCATAAATATAACCTTTAAAAAAATATTGCCATACAGCATTATTTCATCTCTGGATCGTGGTACGATACGATATACCTGTGTATTGCGATATACCTGTTTTTATACAACCGTCAAATTTTGGTAGTATTATGGTATGGCGTTGTCCGGCTGGTCGGCGTAAATTTTGTTTGTCCGGCAATCTCCTCCTACATTTTTCGACCAATCTATTTGAAACTTAGTATACATTATAATCATGATATGAAGTTGTGTCTCCCTTTAAAGAATTTTGATTCAACAATTTTTACAAAAGTTATTGCCCTTTGTTCATTTCAGTATTTGATTTTTGTCCGGCAATCTCCTCCTACATTTTTCGACCAATCTATTTGAAACTTAGTATACATTATAATCATGATATGAAGTTGTGTCTCCCTTTAAAGAATTTTGATTCAACAATTTTTACAAAAGTTATTGCCCTTTGTTCATTTCAGTATTTGATTTTTGTCCGGCAATCTCCTCCTACATTTTTCGACCAATCTATTTGAAACTTAGTATACATTATAATCATGATATGAAGTTGTGTCTCCCCTAAAAGAATTTTGATTCAACAATTTTTTTCAAAAGTTATTGCCCTTTGTTCATTTCAGTATTTGATTTTTGTCCGGCAATCTCCTCCTACATTTTTCAACGGATCTCTTTGAAACTTGGTATACTTAATAATCATGATATGAAGTTGTGTTTCCTTTAAAAGAATTTCGATTCGACGATTTTTGCAAAATAAATTGCCTTTTGTTCATTTCAGTGTTTGATTTTTTGTCCGAAGATTTTCTCCTACATTTTATATAGCATATCAGCTAACCACTCTTAGAATGATGCAGATCTTATATCAATGTAAGAAAGTATATAACACTATATGGCATTCGACGGGCAAATTTTGTTCCGCCCCGCGGTACTCTTTTTCAATATATTGTGATCATGGCAGCCCTAATTGTTACAATATAGGTGTATAAAGGACTCATAGCTAAATGTTTACCTGTTTTCTACTTATATTTTCTGTACTGTTTCGATATATATATGAACCATATTGGACATAAATTTAAAACCGAAAGACATGGTGAGATCTGGAGATACTTGATGTATTAGGGCCCCTGGGTCTTGTGCTTTTAAATTTAAATGTAGTATAATTATTTTCAAATGATAAATAAGGTTGACATTTGATTTTGTATTTAAAACACCACATTTTTTTTCTTGTTTTTTTTTAGGTTGATGATATAAATGAATTTTTGGTAAAACTTGGTTGTGATGAAGAGGAACAAGTGAAAGTCGTATCCATCTTTGGAAACACGGGTGACGGGAAGTCCTATACTCTGAATTACACATTTTTCGGTGGAAAAGAGGTTTTTCAGACTTCGGCCCATCAAGACTCCTGTACTATAGGAGTCTGGGCTTGTTACGACCCCGTCACTAAAGCCATTGTGATTGACACTGAAGGATTTCTAGGTGCAACAGCAAATCAAAACCAGAGATCAAGACTTCTGCTGAAGATCCTGGCAATATCAGACGTTGTTATTTATCGTACTCGCGCAGAACGTCTTCACAACGACATGTTTCAGTTCCTGTGTGATGCTTCTACAGCATATACCAAACACTTCTCTAGGGAGCTACAGGCCGCTGCCAAGCGATGTCGAAAAAGTGTGGCAGACCTCCATCCCTCTGTGATAGTTTTCCACGAGACAACCAACACCAAAGTTCTTGGAGAAGGCAATGGTTTGTGATTTCTGGATGAATTTGTGCTGTTTCAGAAAGAAATTTAGGGTTTCATGAATTGAAAATTTTAAAAAGAAAGTGTATTTATTATGTTATTAAATTTAAGATAAAGGGTACCAGCAAGTTTGACTGTAGTACTGTACATGTAATATTACTTTTGTGAAATTTTTCATTTTTCAGAGAATATATTCCATAAAAAAGCACATGTTGTGATGCATTTTACAAAAATATAGTTGTTTGAATTATGATTCTTTGAAAATGGAAATGGAAATTAAAAAAAAAATACAGAGAAACTGCAAGGGTAGAACTCAGGACCACTGCCAGTCCTACACTTTATGAACAATTGTCAGCCAAGAGCTGACGAGTAGAGAATTCTACTCTCTGGATTTTCCTTCACCCAAGGGCATTAAAGAGGCTGAAAACAAAAAAACTTGAACTTTCTATATATATGCAATTTAATGTAAAAAATACACAGCATTTTTAATACATAATAATATAGGTACTAAAGATGATATATAATATATGTAATTCAATTTATTTTGTTTCATCAACTTACATGCACTGTGTTTCATATAGATGTAATTAATTTTTAATGTCAATTTAATTTAAACAGGTGGTAAGCCTGCAGAGAGTGACCTTTTAGACAAGTTCCAGCAGCTGGAGTGTCCAATGCATTTTAAGGACCTGAAATATGTTGGGACAAGGACCAAAGGGACCAAAACAGACTTTAGACAATTTCAAGCTGAACTACAACTACTACTGGAAAACAAGTCTCATAGGGCTGCTAGAAAGCCAGAGGTTGTGTACATGACACTTAAGGTTAGCTATCATGTTTTTTTAGCATTGTGTCTACTTTTCTGATTGTATAACTAGAAACAGATAAGAATAAGATTAAATATATATTTTTATATATTCAATACTTCACACATTAACATAAATAATTTCATGATTTTCCTGAAAGTTCTTGTTCTTTAAATTATTTTTTAATTCAATTAAAATTGCACATTATGTTTAAATAAATATGGAGAGGGTGTATGATTGTCTAATGAACCCCCACACCAACAATATTTTATTTCCTGTAATCCACAATGTATTTTTTAGTTTTCTTGATACTTTCCCCCCCCCCCATTGCTGCTTACCCCCCTTCATCCCCATATATATATAGGTCTTTACAATTTTTGTGAACAAATTATATTGTGCTTTTATTTTGCGTATTTCATACTATGCCGAATGTGTTTCAGAATTTGAATGACAAGTTCAGTGGTGAGATTGAGAAGCCAGTGTTTGGAACATTTCCTGACCAGATGTTTACCTGCTCTGTAAAGTGTCTGTGTTGTGGGTATGTGAAACAAATTAACCTACACTTGATTGTTTATACGTATACCCCCACACCATAGTGGAGGGGTCATTTAGTGTTTATACCACTATACCATAATGGAAGGGTCATTTAGTGTTTATACCACGATGCCATAGTGGAAGGGTCATATAGTGTTTATTCCCCTATACCATAGTGGAAGGGTCATTCAGTGTTTATACCCCTATACCATAGTGGCAGGGTCATTTAGTGTTTATACCCCTATGCCATAGTGGCAGGGTCATTTAGTGCTTATACCCCTATACCATAGTGGAAAGGTCATTTAGTGTTTATACCTCTATACCATAGTGGAAAGGTCATTTAGTGTTTATACCTCTATACCATAGTGGAAGGGTCATATAGTGTTTATACCCCTATACCATAGTGTAAGGGTCACTTAGTGTTTATACCACTATACCATAGTCGAGGGGTCATTTAGTGTTTATACCCCTATATCATAGTGGAAGGGTCATTTAGTGTTTAGACCACTATACCATAGTGGAAGGGTCATTCAGTGTTTATACCACTATACCATAGTGGGAGGGTCATATAGTGTTTATACCCCTATCCCATAGTGTAAGGGTCATTTAGTGTTTATACCACTACACCATAGTGGAAGGGTCATATAGTGTTTATACCCCTATCCCATAGTGGAAAGGTCATTTAGTGTTTATACCCCTATACCATATTGTAAGGGTCATTTAGTGTTTATACCCCTATGCCATAGTGGAGGTGTCATTTAGTGTTTATGCCCCTATACCATAGTGGAGGGGTCATTTAGTGTTTATGCCCCTATACCATAGTGGAGGGGTCATTTAGGGTTTATACCCCTATACCATAGTGGAAGGTTCATTTAGTGTTTATGCCGCTATTCCATAGTGGGAGGGTCATATAGTGTTTATACCCCCATACCATAGTGGAAGGGTCATATAGTGTTTATTCCCCTATACCATAGTGGAAGGGTCATTTTGTGTTTATACCCCTATACCATAGTGGAAGGGCCATTTAGTGTTTATACCCCTATACCATAGTGTAAGGGTCATTTAGTGTTTATTCCCCTATACCATAGTGGAGGGGTCATTTAGGGTTTATACCCCTATACCATAGTGGAAGGGGCATTTAGTGTTTATACCCCTATACCATATTGTAAGGGTCATTTAGTGTTTATACCCCTATTCCATAGTGGAAGGGTCATTTATTGTTTATACCCCTATACCATAGGGGAAGGGTCATTTAGTGTTTATACCCCCCTATACCATAGTGGAGGGGTCATTTAGTGTTTATTCCCCTATACCATAGTGGAAGGGTCATTTAGTGGTTATACCCCTATACCATAGTGGAAAGGTCATTTAGTGTTTATACCTCTATACCATAGTGGAAAGGTCATTTAGTGTTTATACCTCTATACCATAGTGGAAAGGTCATTTAGTGTTTATACCCCTATACCATAGTGGAAAGGTCATTTAGTGTTTATACCACTATACCATAGTGGAAGGGTCATATAGTGTTTATACCCCTATACCATAGTGGAGGGGTCATTTAGTGTTTATACCCCTATACCATAGTGGAGGGGTCATTTAGTGTTTATACCCCTATACCATAGTGGAAGGGTCATTTAGTGTTTATACCACTATACCATAGTGGAAGGATCATATAGTGTTTATACCCCTATGCCATAGTGTAAGGGTCATTTAGTGTTTATACCCCTATATCATAGTGGAAGGGTCATTTAGTGTTTATACCCCTATGCCATAGTCGAGGGGTCATTTAGTGTTTATACCCCTATCCCATAGTGGAGGGGTCATTTAGTGTTTATTCCCCTATACCATAGTGGAAGGGTCATTTAGTATTTATACCCCTATACCATAGTGGAAGGATCATTTAGTGTTTATACCCCTATGCCATAGTGTAAGGGTCATTTAGTGTTTATACCACTATACCATAGTGGAAGGGTCATTTAGTGTTTATACCCCTATGCCATAGTGGAGGGGTAATTTAGTGTTTATACCCCTATACCATAGTGGAGGGGGTCATTTAGTGTTATTACCCCTATACCATAGTGGAGGGGTCATTTAGTGTTTATACCCCTATACCTTAGTGGAGGGGGTCATTTAGTGTTATTACCCCTATACCATAGTGGAGGGGTCATTTAGGGTTTATACCCCTATACCATAGTGGAGGGGGTCATTTAGGGTTTATACCCCTATACCATAGTGGAGGGGGCATTTAGTGTTTATACCCCTATACCATAGTGGAAGGGTCATTTAGTGTTTATACCCCTATGCCATAGTGGAAGGGTCATTAAGTGTTTTTTACCTATGCCATAGTGGAAGGGTCATTTAGTGTTTATACCCCTATGCCATAGTGGAAGGGTCATTTAGGGTTTATACCCCTATGCCATAGTGGAAGGGTCATTTAGTGTTTATCCCCCTATGCCATAGTGGAAGGGTCATTTAGTGTTTATACCCCTATGCCATAGTGGAAGGGTCATTTAGTGTGTATACCCTCATGCCCTAGTGGAGGGGTCATTCAGTGTTTTCCTTTTCTGTCTGTGCTCTATCACTCTAATAATAGAAGTCCAGCAGCTTTTAAACATCATTATAAATAGATACATCTTTAGGAATACTATACCTATATATCAGATGTATGTCACTGTGACATTAAAATTGTCCCTTTACTCACATAGGTAGACTTTGCATTTAGATTCATTTCTTGAGTTTTATTTTCCATTCAGTGCCATTTCTTTTGTTAAATATTTCCTTTGTTAGACCTTGTGTTGACCTCTGTTCTTTGGTTGAATTTTGTGTTGAACACCATTTCCATCAAAGGAGGAGTTAAGGCCTATATGTATCCTTTACATTTTCTAGTTAAGACCTAGATTAATGCATATTTTCACTTCTTCACATTTCTATAAATTCTTTGCCAATGATTTTCAGTAAATTAAAGTGATGTCCTAGGTTAAGACATGTATCTTTTGTTTTGAGTTTAAAATTAGGTATAATTGAAACCTTTCTAGCAGCATCTCTATCCAGACCAAATACATTGTTAAGAAGAATTTTCTGATGGCTATATATTTATTTTAATTGATAGATGCATGAATTTAGAAATCACTTGAATGAACTTTGGATAATTTTGACCTGTTCAGAATTGAATTAGAAACGTGATGATTTGAGAATATATAATGTGTTTGTTTTAGGGAGAGTTGCTGTCACAGTATGAATCACAAGGCCGACCAGCCACACGACACAGACAAGCGATGTAAATACCAACATCAGTTTGGTAACAAGGTCTACCTGTGTAAGGTCAGTGTTGTCAGAAGCTGTTCATACTTAATATTCTGTGACATTTCAAATAGGATTCATCAGTTTAGAAATATGTATGTATCAAAGATTTACTTCATAGAAAGACAGGATATGTGTAAACATGTTGCTATATTTAGAGACAAAGTGGCCTCTTTGTCAAATTATGATTGGGTGAACCATTAACATTGTTCATCTCGGTAGTGATGTAATGACATTGTTTGTAAATATATTTTCATTGCTTGATTATGAGACATTTTGCCTACTGATAAGAGTATGTATACACACTGTTTCTAGCAGTTTACTAGTTAGGTGTAGGTCATTTAGCTGGAGATGTAATTTAACATATTAATACCCTTTCTGATAGATGATATATATAGATGTATATATAAAATGTATTGATTCCATCTTTGTAGCGGTGCTGGATGGCAGGAAAACAGAACATTGTGGTGCTTAAGACATCTGAATCAAAGGACAACGCTTGGATGGGTTTTGCTAAATACGTCTGGGCAGGGTGAGAGCTAACAGTTTGATCTTACATGATCAAGATCGATGCTCTGATATAGATCTGTGCAGGTGTTCTGATTTAAAGCATCTTAGGTATCAACAGGGACTCCTATATCACAGCTAAAACCTTTAAATATGCATTGGAATTTCTCTGCATGACCATAGCTTTCATAAATAAATTCTGAAAATAAAATGAAAAACCCCCACATACCTTATGCAATGTCTAATAAAAAAAGGATGAAAAAAGCAAAAGGAAAATTGTCTTATAAAAAAAGGATGAAAAAAAGCAAAAGAAAAAAAAGTGTTTGGAGTATAAAAATGTTATGTGGCCAGACCAGATTTGAAGCCAGGACCTCCTTTCATAACTGTTTCCCTAACTAACTGTGCTCACTTGGCAACGGTAGCCCCGCTGGCCCACTTGTGCTTAATTCGAAATTTAAGGGAGGTAACTGTATGAAAACTGCAGGGATTGTTAGGTTAATCCAATATGTTGTTAATCAGAGTATGTATTTGTAATCTCTTGCATTGTAATCATGTGTTTTTATACTTTCACTACAGGGAAATTCTAGAGTGCCCCCACTGTGGTGTTATATACCGAAGTCGGGAGAAGTGGTATGGCAACAGTGAGGCAGAGGAGGCTGTTACTGTAGATATTAGACATGTATGGCCTGATGTAAGTAAGATGGTTATAAAAATATGAGGGCTGGGTGGTGTAGTAGAAGATAGTAAGAAAAATATTCTTAAAAACAGACTTTCAGGTATTGAAGTATACTTAATGATAGATAGATAAAAATAAAATTCCATAAAAATATACTGTTTATGACACTATCAGGTAATTTCATAAACTATAAATGATGTACTGTTCGAAAAAGGGAAGAACATTCAACACATTCTTCAGAGCAGATATTTGTGATCCTGTAATGTATAAAAACAGAATTTGAATTTAGTCTGCTTGGTTCATAACTAAGTATTCTGTTTTTTAGCTCACCTGCCTGAAGGGCAAGTGAGCTTATGCCATGGTGCAGCGTCCGGCGTCCATCCGTCCGTCCGGCGTCAACTTTTTACTTTAAACAACTTTTTCTCAATAACCAAAAGGCCCAGGGTACTGATATTAGGCCTGAAGCATGCTAGGATGAAGGGCTACAAAGTTTGTAAAAATAAATGACCTTGACCTACTTTCAAGGTCACAGGGGTCAAATATGTTAAAATCTTCAAACAACTTCTTCTCAATAACCAAAAGGCCCAGGGTACTGATATTGGACCTGTAGCATGCTGGGATGAAGGGCTACCAAGTTTTAAAATGTATGACCTTGACCAACTTTCAAGGTCAAAGGGGTCAAATGTCTTAAAATCTTCAAACAACTTCTTCTCAATAACCAAAAGGCCCAGGGTACTGATATTGGACCTGTAGCATGCTGGGATGAAGGGCTACCAAGTTTGTTAAAATTAATGACCTTGACCAATTTTCAAGGTCACAGGGGTCAAATGTTTTAAAATTTTCAAACAACTTCTCAATAACCAAAAGGCCCAGGGTACTGAAATTAGGCCTGTAGCATGCTGGGATGAAGGACTACCAAGTTTGTTCAGATGAATGACCTTGATCCACTCTCTCAACCTGATGTCCTTGTACGACATTCAAGGTCACAGGCGTCATATGTTTAAATCTTTTAATTGGTTTTTATGAATCAAACACTGATATTCTGCCTGTAGCTGTATTTTCGTCCACTTTTAAGATTACAAGTGTGAGATTAATACCAGGTGAGCGATGCATGCCCATTGGGCCTCTTGGATTTTTCCAAGTTAAACAGTTTTCACAATATTTTAAAAAAAAATTGTAAAAACACTTCTACATCAATAATGAGGGAACACACTGTAAATCATCAACTGCAGTAGAGATGAATATTTAAAAGATATTTATGATTCACAGTTTTCCACTACAATTGTATGTTGTGTAGGGGCTTCAGAACTTACAAGGTGCTCAGAACGCGGCCCGTAAATTGGTGGATGGTATGCACTACATCGCAGATTCCATCAGCAGTGTGGGGTCACGACCTACCAAGATGTTGTCGGATTGGATGGCCGACAGAATTGCTCCAGATTACTGGGTACCCAACACACAGGTCAAGGTAGGCTTTATAAAGCAATCACATGCTGGACAGGAATAAAACAGTATATTTTAAATTTTATCTATAATGTTTCTACATGGAACGTAGTAAAATAAATACTTACATTCACTCTAATTTTCAAATCTCTAGTAATGAATAGCCATCACTTCTAGGAAACATATTTTCTAGTTTATTGTTCTGTCTGGTAATACTCCAGAAAGGACTGAAAGACATGAACTAGTTATCAGTGGAAAATGGGTTTTTTTGGTATTCTTTCATTACTTTTCGTGTTTGAATATACAATCATGTAGTTATAATTTGCTATTGCAGATTAATGAAATTAGGGTAAATATAAATTATGGAATATCTAAATGTCTCTTTTTACAAGGAATACTGAGAAGAAGTTTTTTTTATTAATACAATGTACAATATAACATGAAAACATTATGTTTTATAAATGACTATAGCCTTTATACATAGCACACTATATATACCGATTGTGTTTGGTAAAAGATTTCTGACCACACATATTGTGTCTGTAGGAATGCAGTATTTGCTCTGTGAAGCTGGAGAATGAACAGAAACACCATTGTCGAGCATGTGGGAAGGGCTTTTGTGATGCTTGTTCATCTCATCGGAAACCAGTTCCAGAGAGAGGCTGGGGAGAGAGTGTTGCAGTTCGTGTATGTAACAACTGTTTCAGCGCAGACAAGATGACAGGTGAGAACTGAGATACACGGAGATCATGTGCTGTTGTTACACGACTCTTTAAGGAAATACACTACTTTTTGTACCCTTATGACAATGTTTGACTGTGAGATGAACTGGTATTTGCTACTGTATAATTGTTGACTGGTCAAGTGATAAACTGGTGTTTGCTTACCAGTACTTGACATTTTGCTTTTCATTGGTCATATGTTTGTCGGATACCTAACAAAACAGTTGTTTCATGTCTTATTAGGTAAGTAAGAACTATTTTCTGTCGGATTTGGGGAAATAGTTTTGTCTGTAGACTGATAAGGCCTGAAACAACTGTATTGTCTACTTGTTTCTGTAATGTTATATGTGTATCATTGTTTACCTAAATGTTGTTGACTACATGTCTATTGTTACCTTTGAACAGGCTCAGCTGACAGTACTGGTAGTAACTCCCAGACAACTGCCAGACGTGTAGGGGAAGCAGTGTCCTCAGCGATTGGTGTGGCAGCCTCAACTTTCAACTATCCACTGGGTATGTTCAGAGACATGAGTCTTATATTTGTTTCATGTTCCTCATATAATTATATAGTGTTAACATGATGTTGTATTCTGAAATTTTCATGATCTTTTATCATATTTTATGTATCGTACTGCTGTTTTAGCATAATTTGCCATTTATAACTTTGGTATTAGCTATCAGAAACAAATTTGGGATTTAACTAAAGCAGAGGTGATAAATTAACACTCAAGAAACAAAACAAAATGTTTTAGTTTTTCAAGGTCCCCATGTTCCTTTCTCTTAATAGTCACTTTATATGCCTCCCTTGATATGCCACCAAACCCCTTTATAGCCCATTAAAATCTTACTGGACAAATGAGATTCCTTTTGTTTCACTAGACATGCTGAAGGACACTGCTAGGCCAGCTTACTGGATACCAGATATCGAAATAAAGAACTGTTGTGTGTGCAAAGAGGAATTTGGACCTAAGCGGGCTATCCATCACTGTAGAGCTTGTGGGAAAGGCGTGTGTGAGACATGCTCTCCAAGTAAACTGCCAGTTCCTATCAGGGGATGGGACTACCCTGTAAGGGTTTGTAAGAAGTGTGAGGACAAGGCAGACCAACTGTGATTCAAATTGTCCCTTTCTGGGACCAGACACATTATATTGAATTTAGCGTCGGAACTGAAACAGGAATCGCCCTGTCAGGGTATAGATAGTGTATAATGTGAATGGCTGACTGTCAGAAGAGCGAAGAGGAATGTTCCTGATGAATCTGAAGATTTTTAGTCAGGCCAGCTGTGATAGGAGAGGTGGCTATGCACATAATAGACTGCAGAATTATGGGTGGAGTAACGTTGTAAAAGATCACTTTTACAGTACTTTTAATAATGATGAGGAACTTGATTACTATAAACGAATATTCAAATACCTTACAGGTCAGTAAAAAAGAAGGGAAAATTACTTTTTAAATATGAATACAATTAGTAAACAAAGACTAGGGACTTACAGTTCCGTATTCTGAACCTGTTTCAGAATCTCCATTTGATTGGTTCCCTCTGTCTCCATTTGATTGGTTCCCTCTATCTCCATTTGATTGGTTCCCTCTGTCTCCATTTGATTGGTTCCCTCTGTCTCCATTTGATTGGTTAGCAGATTCAGAAGCTGGAGATTCCCTCAGTTTGTCTCTGGTGCTATTGGTACACAGATTGAGAAGCTCAAACTATCAAGTTAAACTTGACTTTACTGACACCTGACTTTAAGGATATCCTGCACTGTTTGACATGATTTTGTGGCCCCAAGATACTGACTTCTTTATATTTAGCCCTTAATTTGCGACTACACTGTATTGTTGGACAATGATTCTGTCTTTCTTGATGTCAGTAAAGTCAAAATTAACTGTATGGTCTGGTGAAGGAAAACACAAGAAATTGTAATAAGGTATTAACATTCCTCTTTACATTTCCATATCTGTATTCATCTTAAGAGCACAAGAACAATTAGCAACAATATATAGTTGTTTCAATATACTTTGTATATCATTTTTGTCATATCAGCAAGGATAATCTCAGTTTACATAAAGAGGGCTCCCACTATTTTCAAAATTATTGAGAAGCATTTCTTGGCGTAATGCATTATTGAAAAAGGGAGTTTATGGCATACACACAGTATGATGTTATCAAGCAATTATAGTCCAATTGCTTTTGATATACCTTAAACTCCCATCCCAATGGGCTGTAAGCTAACCTGCAGCACATGGTTTCTTTATGAGGTTTGGGACAGGTCTATTTTCAAAGCCCTGCGTGCTGTCAGCTTTTTACCTTACCTCGTCATGTCAAGTCTTTATATACTTCCACAACGATACCTTTAATGACCATCAGGTGAATTAGCAGTAGAAATAGTGTGATAGGTGAAGTTGTGTGACTAAATGTGGCTATATGTAATGCAGTGTTGGAAATAACTCATTGTGGTTGTGGTGCCGTGGTGAGACTGGACTCATAGACAATCACCAAGAAATACTAAAATAGAATCATAATGCGTTATATCTTTTATATAATGAATTATTGCAAAAAAACAAGTGGGAACCCATCTTTATATTTCATGATTTTTTTATTGATTTTGTTTTGTTCATTCTTTTCCAGAATTGATTTCAAATTTAAATAGCATGAACATATTTATTCATGAACATTAACACATAAATCTGTTATTGATTAAAGTGTGAGTTTAAATCCTCGTCCTTGTTGTTCCAAGCCCGATAGCTGAGTTTTGAGAAATATCTGAAAGTTTGTAATTATCTTTGAGTTTCTTGCCTTCAAATGATCATTTTGACTCTCCGTACAAAAAAAAAGTCATGTAATTTTAGATGTGAATTTCACCAATTTTTATACTAGATTTCCATTTTTCACTTACTTGCTGTTCATCTAAATCAGGCTTCGACTAGCAGTATCCTGGTGAATACATTAAAGTCCTGTGCACCATAATCGGGAAAGAAAGTATATAATATTTACACCAGAAAATATATGAATGACAGTATATAGCACTGGTATGTAGGGCTGCAGCGATACATTAACATGAAGATACGATACGTAAGACAGGTTGCAAAGTTTTAATGGCAATATTACATCTGGAAATAGACTTGGTCCAAAATGAGCATGCCTTTAAAGTTTCACACAATTCACGTCTTTTGATGTGCATGCCGAGCTGGAGCTGTCCACACCATATTGGAATGGATATGAGTAGATTAAGTCCAGAAACAACAAAATCCAGAAAATATCGTAAGTGTATTGTGACCTCCCAAAAAAAATTGTACCGTATTCAAAATATTACAACGTATCGTTACAGGATATATTGTTGCAGCCCTACATGTATGTATAGGGTACTTTGAGAACAAAGGCATATAACCTTCTTATGTATATAACATTTGTGTATTATTGTAAGATCACACTCAATCAAATGTGATGGTGTGTGCTTTTGATAAGTACACAGTCTCTTTCAGTGAGTTTATCTGGTGTCTTTGCAGTCTGATAAAAATACAGATGCTGATTTATCACCAAAGGTACATATAGGTGATAAATTAACATCTGTAATTTAAGCAGATTATTGTCTTTGGTAAAGACACCAGTCAATCTGTCAGATAATGTAAAATGTATTCCATTCTACCCAGCATTCCCTGTGTAAATGTATTCCAGAATATTCTGTCATCATACATTAACATAATTATGTAAATAGTTTTGACATTTTATACATGATATATGATTAAGATTTATCTCCTAATTAAGTGTACTCATGATATTTAATGATTTAAAGTACCAATATGTTGCCAAAATGTTAAGGTATATACTGTTTGATAAATAAATTAGTACAGGATAATCATCTGGGTGTTTTTTTCACAAGGAGAACACTTTTACGGTTTTGTAGCTCATCTACTTGATCACAGGAATTTTATTTGTATAACATTAACGACAGGTGAAAATTTCTTTGCAAAATGCTTTTGCTGTCTCAAAAAATTTGCTTTATGTTTTAATTTGAAGTATACAAGTTAAAAACAAAAGAACAAAAGAAAAAGTATCATTACTATTCATTGAAGTTCATGTGTATCATGTGGGATATTGGGGGCTAGATAATCTGTCCTTCCAAATACTGTGCCTAGAATTTTGTATTCATGTTTCATTATTGATACCAAATCAAGTATTTCAAAAAAATCAGGCATTCAGAAGGAAAAGAAACTTCATGTGTTAGATTTATTTTAATGGTACAATGCGTCGTATGGTGTTCATATTTTATTGTATGATTCAGTGTTCTTTGATTTATATGTTTTAGATATGTTTCATACTGAATGGCTTGGTTGATTTTAACAAGTTTTGTATCACAGTAGTGTTTCTGTGCAGTGTACCTGTCAACCTATATAACCCACAATGCCAAGTAAGCTAATTCAATGGTGCCGATTCCATTCTTCATCATATTGTTTCTGAATACTTCATTTTTCAACTTTTCTATGTTTTAGTATTTCATCATGCTGCAGTTAATTAAATAACAGTTTCAAAATAACTTATAAACATTAAACCCAACAAACATTTTTTTTTTTACCTCTTGCATGTTCAGGTTGTTTGACAATAGAAAATATATATAAGCTGTAAGACATTTATATTCATACCTGCAGTGAACAACAAGATGCTTCAAGATTCAACTCTAAATCAAAATACCATTCATAACAGATATTTTCCACAGAATTAAGATTATTATCAAAACCTGTACTAAACTGTAACAAAAGAATCTATCGCTGCCTACTATAAGAAATGCTTCTCTACTTGATGTACACCTGACATGTGTAATTAAGATGTATTAAACTTGACTTACTTGGAGCCAAGGGTATTATTTATCAACAAGAATTAGTGTAACTTAATATTGGAATACATATAAGTGCAAATTTAGGATGTTAGAAAAATTTCTTCATATTACTGCAAGTGTACTTACTTTAGCGCACTCCGACTTTAGCACTTTATCATATTGTTAAAGATTGGCCCATTAATGAATTGGTATAACTGAAAATAAGGCAATAGGAAACAATATACATGCAGGAACTTCAATTAGCTCAGTCATAATTTAGCACAATATTTAAAGCACATGACGGTGCTCTAAAATAAATCTACCGCTAATATTTGTACATTTACAGTATATGATTGTCACCCGGTTGGTGCTATCCACTTCCTACCGACTCGGCTAGAGAGAATTTCTCTTTATCTTATTTGGTAGAGTGTAAGACTAGTAAACCAGAGGTCTCAGGTTTGACTCCTAGCGGAGGCATTGAATAAAATAAAGACCTGTTACATGACAATGAATTGAAATTGAGAGATTTTCTGTTATCACATTCAAGGTAATCATATGGACCTTTACAAAATCCATGTTTCTTTAATAGAACTCACTACCACCTATATTATCTATTTAAAACTACCCACATGTTCTTGTAAGAGTAAATAGATCAATTGAAATAATTAATTCGTGTATATACACATTGTATTACAGAAATGATCATCTTTTGATGAATTTGACAATTGTATGATACATGTACATATTTATAGTTGATTTTTGTTTGTATACTTCAAAGTGTTTAAATGTCCAACACTAATGTGATCTGTATTTATTCCAAGTTCTATGAATTTATGGTAAACATCGTGATCTCTGACTGGCTAATGAAATAAAGCTGTCCCGAAAGGATCTGGCTGTGGTCACCTACAAGTAGGCCTACAATAGCAGATTCCTAAGTCCAGGGGTCCCAGAAGAGTTTGTAAAACACCTTTGAAACACAAGGTACCTTTAAGGATATACAGTGTACTTACCAGGTATAATATTGGGTGGAGGAGGTTAACTACCAGCAGTTAAATATTCCTGATCTTGTACAAGTACAGATTGAGGTACATGTAAATGACATACATTGAACTGGTTCATAAACTACATATATATACATTATATACAGGATATACATTTATATTGCAAGACAAAAAATGGCTTCATCTTTCATGTTTTGTACGATTTGGGTACATTGTACATGTATGTACAACCCCCATCATGGGCTTTGAAGAAGATGGTTAAATAGGCAAAGACATTGTTACTTTGTTCGAAATGTTCTTGTATAACAAATAACATTGTTAACATGGGTCATCACTTTTAATAGTTTGTTTTCCTGAGATAAGTGGAAAAAATGTCATTTGTATATATACCATATTTGTTTTTTTGATCATGAATATGTTATTTGTATAGTGCAATGACAATTGTTATGTTTTTATGTTTATTGTTATTTGATTGGGATATAAATACACTGTCACCTTCTACCAGCCGAATGTTGGTTGTGAAACTGTGGTACAGACTAGGAACAACAGATGTATTGTCATGTAGACATGACAGAATATTGTCATATTGTTATGTAGCTATGACAGAAATATTCTCATATTGTCATGTAAACATGACAGAAATATTGTCATATTGTCATGTAGACATGACAGAAATATTGTCATATTGTAATGTAATTATGACAGAAATATTGTCATGTAGTCATGACAGAAAAATTGACATATTGTTATGTAATTATGACAGAAATATTGTCATGTAGTCATGACAGAAAAATGGACATATTGTCATGTAGCCATGGCAGAAATATTGTCATATTCAGAAGACTGCTATGATTTTAACATGTAACCATGGAATTTGCGAAGTTTTTTTTATAAAGTCATGTCAAATGAACATTATTGATATAATTAGGGCCCCGTGTTGGAGATAAGGGTGCCCTACAGTAATCACTCTGTCTGTCCGTCCATTTGTCCACAAATTTTGTTCCTGGCTGATAACTTTGGTATTTATTGACTGATTTACATGAAACTTGGTCAAGATGTTAAGTTCACAAAATTTACATATTTTAACTGATGAACATTTTGTTATGACATGATGAAGCAATGTTGGTCAGAATTAAACAATGATTCAACTGACTAAAGATCAACGTCATTAGGTCAAAGGTCAAGGTTAAGTTTTGTATTTTATCACTGGCGAACATTTCGTTATGACACTTTGAAGCAATGTTGCTCAGAATTAAATAAGGTCAAGGTCACTGGGTCAAAGGTCAAGGTCAAATTTAGTATATTTTCACTGGTGAACATTTCGTTATGACACTTTGGAGCAAAGTTAGTCGGAATTAAACAAGGAGTCAACTGACCAAAGCTGAAGGTCACTTGGTCAATGTCAAGGTCAAATATTGTATCTTTTTACTGATGAACATTTTTTATAGTATTATGAAGCAAAGTTGTTCAGAACTTAACACCGAGTCAACTGACCAAATGTCCAGGTTACGGGGTCCAATGGTTCTAGGTCAAGTTTTGTATTTTTTGCTGATGAACATTTGTTATGAAATTGTTTAGCAAAGTTGGTCAGAATTAAAGAACAATTCAACTGACCAAAGATCAGGATCACTGGGTTAAAGGTCAAGGTCATTTGGGTCCAAAGATCAAAGACAAAGTGGATCTCTGACTTTGACCCTGGCTCTTGATGGGGGAGGTATTTAAGGTGAAATAAAACAAATCAAAGCTAACAAATGAGTATTACAACGGTATTTACATTTCTGTTAGCCCAGCAAATATGGAGGTGGAAGGAAACAAGACTTGCATCATAGTTAAGTACATGTAAATGTATGTTTTGCTTTCTTGCGATTCTTTTTGAAGTTCAAATGTCAAACATCAAGCTCAGCTATATGGGCAGATTGCTTCTTGATGATTATGGGGGATATATTGCCACAAGACGGGGACCTTTCTGACCTGTCAGTGTTCTAGTTTACTTCATTATTGTGTTATTTTTTGGTTAGTTGGCCAGTCTTATAGGTTATGGTTCCATTTACTGAATACATGCTTTGTGTATGCCTGATTTTCAACCTCTGTATATAGAATTTTGGGAAATACTTTTATTTTCACCTGCAAACTTTTCATCAAGGAGCATTTTGTCACAAATTGATTGCTATTAAAGTTAAGTATAATGTAATATTTTTTTTCAAAATGGACATGAACAAAGATAACTATGCAAATAACAAACACTGGGCACCAGTTGTTAAACCCAGATTAGCTTTACAATTCATTAATGGAAATTTTCAAAGTGCAGTTTTGAAGAATTATCAGAAAATTTACAAATATTTTTTGTTTTCCTATCCTCAGGTGATCACTTTTAATTCCTAAACATTCAATTCAAATTCATTTGAGATGTAACATGGCATTTGATTGGTCAATTGAAATAATTCGACCCTGAAAGATCAATGTTATTCCACCTCACTTTTAATCTTCATGACGTCACCAATTCATGACAGAGAGACAGAATTTTGACGAAAATGCACAAAAACATCATTGTTTCTTTTAGTGGTTTTAGTTAAGAGAGGGTAGACTTGGATGTTCAATCTTTTAAATCTGCTAAATTTGCTTCGGGTCATCGGTAAAATCTGATTTGCAACAGCATAAACATATTTTTTTTTGTTTTTTAATTTCTATATTTTTGAAAATATGATAAATTAAAATTTTGAGATGTCATTTGTTGATCAGGCATTTTTGGCACAAGTGTAAGAAATTTGATTCCCATAATTATATAAAAGTTGTTGCAGTTTTGTTTAAGACACTGTAATTCTATCTTTCGTAAATGAAATGATGCTACTACTCAAATGCCATATCAGAAAGTTATATATCCCCTATTTTTATAACTGTACCTTTAGTTATGTTTCCTTTCTTTCTCACTATACTTAAATCTTTCATTATCTCTTGCAAATGTATCAGAAATGTAAAAAATAATCATTGTTGATCTTTTATTGGAAATCATTGAAATCTGTCACAAAATCGTATGCCATGTAAATATACCATATTCAACTTAAAAACATTGACTAGGAATCATCTCTGTGCATTTGGATGTCATGGTTCTTCATTGAATAAACTTGGATATTCCTATAATGTTTGAATGTTTTGTTTGTTTTGCTCACCTGGTCCAGTGGGCCTAGTGAGCACTAAAGCCAGGGCACAACATGTCAGTCCATCAGATGTCAACATTTCCTGTAAGTGATTTCTTTATGATCCATAAGGTAGGTAGCATTAATACTTGCCTTTATCTGGCTGGAGTTGAGGCCTACCAAGTTTGTAAAATGATCTTTACCACCATTTACAGGATTAAATATGTTGGAAACTTTTAAACATCTTGTACACATCCATAATGCTTAAAGTCTGCAGTGTTCTCCCCAGAATGTTTTGAAAGAAGCATGGTATTTCAATATTTCTGTTAAAGCAGCACTCTATGTAAAATCAAAGCAGCATGGTAACTTTAGATTTACTATGAATATATAGCAGAGAAGATCTAGGATAGCAGCATGGTAAGAAATTATAGGAGCATGGTGCCATGCTGCAAAAACAGCCTGGGGAGAACACCGAGTCATGCTATTTGGCCTGTAGCTTACTCCGTTGAAGACTGACCATCAAGTTTGCTCAATGTAAAATTACCTTGATATAAGACTAAAGTTCAAGGTCACATGTCAAGTCTTTTTTAAAACTTAAAATGGCTTCTTAAAATCCACTTTGTCAATAGAGTAAGGATATTCAGTTTACACGTTACAAATTGTTTGGGAGTAATTCAGCTTATGAGATGAAAATCAGTTAATTTATCAATTTGTTGGATATGTTTTTGAGCTTACAAGCTTTGATACAGCTGGTTTGGGAAAGTTTTGGATTGGAAAACATCAGTCATTGAGTTTGCAGGATTTGAATTTTTCTTTATTAGGTCACCTGAGACAAAGCCTTTTGTCCGTCGTCGTCCATCGTGCGTCCGTAAACAATTTACATTTTCAACTTCTTCTCCAAAACCCCTGAACCAATTTTAATGAAATTTTGCAGGGACCTTCCATGGACAAAGGTCAACAAAAATAGTGGCCGGTTTAGTCCCAAGCCCCCAGGGGCCTGAGGGGCAGGGCCAAAAAGGGTAAAATTGACTAAAATTTCAAAAATCTTCTTCTCCAAAACCC